ACGACAAAGAGTATAGTACATACCGTGAATCTGCACCATCTGGTCTACAGTCTCAAAGTCGAGCAGCTCAATGCTCTGTTCCATGAACTGCACGCGCCACCTTCGTAGCGAATCGCCCGTTAGCGCCGCCGTCTCTAGCAACCTGCCAGCTCGTTGACGCACCTGAGGAACTTCTGCACGTCTCCAAAGACAGCCTTCAAGTCCTTCACTGCGCCATACAGGTTGTACGTGACCGGGTGGCCCTCCTTGTCCTTCCCGTACACGACGCCAAGCTTCCCGAACACCTCCGGGTCGAACTTCTCCTGCATGATCTCGTCGATCTTGAACTCGTCCCGCCACTTGAGCGTCGCCACGAGCATGTCTGCCGCCTGCTGGATGTTCAGGTTCCGTGCGCGCGCGAACTTCGCGAGGATCACGGACGCCTTCGCATTTGGGGTGGTGGAGACCTCGACGCCCCAGAGCGTGACGGACGTCGGCGCGGGCGACTTGTCGGGGTATGCTTTCGCGAAGATGCTCGGGAGCTGCGACTGTTGCGTTGGAAGGACCATGGAGCACGGTGAGCACAGCACAGCGGGGCGAGACACGAACACGTACGCGCAGCTCCTTGACCGCCTTCCACTCCGCCTCGGTGAACTTCTGCGTGAGCGCGTTCTGCGGCTCGTCGGGCTCGGCGCCCTCCACCGTCTTCACAATGGACTCTTCCGCGGGCTTCGGCTCTGCTGCCATCGTGCCAACAAACGAGAAGACAGACGTCAAGAGCAAGCGACAGCGGACACACGTCAACACGGCGGAACACGCAGCGTCAGCGTTCCCACTCTGCGGAAGCTTATATACGGCTCGAACACGCACCTTCCCGCTTGGCTTCAGGCGCAGGCGTGGCCTCCGGCGCAGGAGCCGGTTCCGCGGGAGCTGCTGCAGCCGCAGCTGTGGTAGGCTCGGGGACAGCGGGAGTTGCCTCCGGCTCGGGGGCAGGGGCTGCCTCGGTCGCTGTGGGCGCTGTGGCGGCGGTCGTGGGCTCGGCGGGGGTGGGCGCGGTGGCGGGCGCAGGGGCGTCGGTGGGCGGGGGGACGGGGATGGGCTCGGTGTTCTCGCTGGCCATGGTGTCGCGGTCGTCGTTCGCTGTCAAGGCGGTCAGGAGACAAGAGATGCTGAGCGACCCGCTAAGCTTGTGAAGGGATCGCCGTCGGCTGCGCGACATACCGTAACTGGCCTCCTTATCAGATAAGATAGTCGCCCGGGCGTCTGAGTGGGTCACCCCCATTCGAGTCTCAGGTCAAGCTGCACCGACGACCACCATACCGTCTAACGTACGTGCATTGATAGTTTCCTGCAGCTTACATAGCTCGAGGTATTAAGGAGTCAATGAACGCAGTTAACCCAATAAAATTTCTCGGAGTACATGTCTACTACTAGTACTGTATCCCAATCCCTCCTCAGTTCGTGGTAGCATGCGTGAAGGGCGTGTTCGCGAAACCAATACGGCTGTTGCTCGTGTCGAAGACAGTGTAGAAGCGCTCCAGCCAGGTCTGGCCGTTGATAAAGTCGAGGCCCTCGCCGGAACGCGTGCCAATCGAGCCAACGATGAGGTAGACGCTGTTTGCGTTCCCGCCGATGGCCGTGTTCAGCGCGCGCTGTTGCCAGCATCACGTCAGTCACGCACAACACAACACAGAGCGGCAAGATGAACGAGAAGACGGCGGTGGAATGCTCAGCATGAGGGGAAGACATGACAGGAATAGACACGTACCGGCCAGATCTGAGCGTTCGCAGTGAACTCGAAGGTGACCTGAGAGCAGGTTAGCAACTATTGTATAATGAGACCGCCCAAATACCACGCACCCCGTTGATAGTGAAGAACAAACTCTGCAGGTTTGCAAACTGGGCGGTGGTGAGGCGGAGAAGGCCCGTCGCGTTGTCTGGGACGGCGCCAGTAGCACGCTGATACTTGGTCAGAGCATCTGAGTGTCCAAGCAAAACATCCGCAGTCAGCTTCCCGCAGACAGAAGACGGGGAAGGTGCGCACCGGAGGCAATGAGGGTGAGCGTGGTCCCGGTGTCGACGATGCCAGCAGTGGTGGACAGGATCGACGTCGACGTGCCGTATCTGATGGACTGGTTGATGCCCCAGAACTCCGACGCAGGGGAGGTACGCGTGAGAGGCCTGCGGGCAGTAACACAGCGCGCGCACAGACGTTTAGTACCCACGAGACGAGATGTCAGCGAACGCCACGATGGCTGTCAACCGGATTTGCGACGTACGCGAAGTTGATCGCGCCGGTGAACTTGCTCGAGTCAGTGCCGCCGAACGTGAGCTCCCCGTTCACTATCTCGACGCTGTTCGTGGGCTCGAACGAGACGGCGACCTCGTCGGAGGTGATGATGCCCTGGGCGAAGAGGTTGTCCGTCACTGATCAAAGAAACTCCCGTCAGCGCGGTTCCCGCGGGCTGCGCATGTGAAGTGCGGCAGGAGATACCCACCGGTCGGGATAGTTGCGGTGGTGTCCGGTGAAAGCGTGCCGACTGTGAGGTCGACCGGTCCAATGCTGGGTGGGCGAGGGGCAAGGGGTGAGATTTGCGGTGGAGCGGAGATTGGTAGAATGAGAGCGTACCCAAGAATACCGTCTACACCCTCGAAGCCGTCTGATTCAGTAGCGACTCCGATGGACTGGCCATTGATCGTGAGGCCGTTTCCAAGAGAGACCGTGTCAGTAAACTCGGTGCCTGCCGCATGCCATGGGCGTCATCAGAAAGCCATGTAGAATGAAAGGCAGTACCCACCGGAGAAGTCTCCTGAGCCATACGTGACAGACTAGGGAATATTTAGAACCCGGTCAGCGCCCGGAACAGACTATGGACAGCGAAGTCTGTCAAAGAGCATATGCTCACCACACGGTCGCGCGTCTGCCGGGTGGTCGATGTCTGGACGAAGTTCGTACCGGCACCGACCCAGGTGTTGGAACTGCCGGTGTCAACGATGAGATCGTCTGGAAGGACAGTCAGGTGATCAGTCAAGTGTCCCGAGCCGGAGTCGTGGGCACTCACAGTTCGTGGCGGGGCTGCCAACGCCGACCTGGAAATTAGCGGTCAGTATACCCGTCGTAAACCGGACTGCGTGAAACCACGCACGGTGGCAATGTACGACACGGCCTGGTTGTCCACGGGGACGCTGATGACCGCGTCTGACGACAGAGGAGTGCCCGCAAGGCGCGCCTTCGCACGAGCGTTCAGAAGCTTCACCCGCGCCTGGTCACGAGCGAGCAGGGTGTGCGTCCCCGTGAGGTTGAACTTCTTCGCGATGGGCAGGCGGATGAAGTTGTCCCGCACTTGCACGACCGGCGTCGCGCTCACGACGAGCGCGAGGCTCAGTGCGAGCAGCAGCGAGAGGAACGACGAGGAGAACCCGCGAGACATTATCGAGGAGGGGGAGAGGGAGGAGGAGGAGCAACAGTCTGAGCGGGAGCTCGACGAGGACATCATGCGAGCTGTTGAGTGCCTTATATATTGGGCCGCTCAGAAGTCGTAGACAACGGGATCGCGATAGCGGTGGTATGCGGGCTTCCCGGTCGGTATGTTTGAGCACGCTGTTGATCAGCGATGGACTCGGAGGACAGGGAAGGTCCCGTGAGGGAAGCTCTTTTGATGAGACCCCGAGACTGTATCCGTCGAAGCACGGAGAATATCGACATCGTCAGGAAGAAGGCCTCATAGATGCAGTGATTAGTCGTCGACACCTTACCTCTCAACGGTTCCTGAGACGCATTGGAATATTTTGTGATCCAGGGAGGGCTCTTTTCTCTCCTTCTATTCGCAGGCCATCACTGCTGAACGTGGGGCCAACCTTGCAATCTCCGAACGCATGCAGGTGGGTCTGGGGTCCTGAACGTCAGCGGATGTAAAGCGTTGACAGAAGCATGTGCTCTCACCCACTGACAGGGAAAAACAGGCATAAGAATAACAGCAACACGTGGGAGTAATGCGCACTCACAGCATCAAGAAGGCCGCTGAGGTGCCTTGCAAGCTTGTAGCATCAGAAGAGCACGATCCCTGCTACCATGTCCTCGACGGATGACGCTGTCAGACCGTACAGCGAGCGACACCGATGGCGACATCCATGCTGAATGGCTAGATACATATACAGGATACTCAGCCGGTGCGGTGATGACGACTGATGCACATCCTCAGACGCCATTCGACGCGATGGTCGAAGTCGGGCATGAGCACTTCCGCCGGAGGCTTCTCGTGGCGGGCCCGGGAGCAAGTTGAGGTTTCCGGCTTCGAAGCAACCTTATACATGATACGAGGCTGCGGATCGAAGCAAGGAGAACACCACGAAGAGCCCGAGTCCCGGTGATTCCACGTCGTCAGAGCTATGCCCGACTAGCACTCCGGAGACTCAGAGTGGACCACGCTGACAGCGGTGCGGAGTGTGTGGGGACGAACACGACGACAGAGGGGGTGGGAGGTGCCAGTGACGAGTACATCTTGATGCCTCCAGAGATGGCAAGTGTCGTCGTCCAGCATGCTTTGAGGCCGTGCGCTACAAAGGCACAGGAAGCGACGAGGATGCGATGGTTCTCATCGACCCACGCGGAGACTGCGCGTCACGGAGAGGAATTGCCGGATGTCAAGGATGTCGCAAAGGAAGTCAGCAGCGGCGCAAGTTGGAGCGTCAGGAGAACGAGCACACTCAAATTGCAAGTTCAGAAGCATCATGGTAGCAATACAGAGTCCAAGCGAAGGACTTGCGTTGGCCAGGCCCGCGCCGGGGTTGTACCAAAGACGTCGCAAATCAAGGCTGGCAACGGCGGCGTGCCGGTCTAAGTGCGCCGTGAACGCGTGAGCACTAGTTGCTTGGAGGATTCTGGTGCGTGGTCGATGTTTAGTACTGCCCATGACATGGAGGGAAGAGGACGAGCACTGCCAGTACTTGCCAGGGGCAAAGGATGAGCGACACCCTGCGCCCTTGTGTATGTCAGAAGCTGAAAGTTATTTGAGGCATACTCTCTGTTAGTATATCGATTAGTACATGCGCCTGTCACGATGTTGTACCTGCGTACCTGTCTCCAGCTGTGTCCGCGCGAAAGCGGGGTTCGACTCCCCAACAGAGAGATGGGCACAGAAGAATGCGTTTCTTTTGCCCCGCCCCGCTTGTCGCAGCCCTCGCATTTGCCCCATATGATCGATGTCGCTCTTACGTGTGTGTACACTGTACAGTATATGGGCTGTGCTCACAACGGTATGTTTTGTTTTGTTTTCGCGGGCGACCGCCGCAGTGACATGTTCTATTGATGCTGCGACGACATAGGTATAAAAACATCATGGTTGGACATACATGGCATCATACAGTGAGAACAACATGCATAGGGATGGGATCAACATGGGATGTCGCCTGAAGGCGCGATACATGTAGTGCCATGAATAATGGCATCTGCTAGCACGGCGGTCACCGCACTTGCAGTGCAGCGTACTCTATATTCCCGCAACACGCTCCGTGTACTGAGACGGAAAAGTACTCAGCACATGAGCGGCGCAGGCGTGAGTCGCAGCCCGACGATGGCCCTCTTGTCAGAGCAGAGGTCCTTGACATCGACGGGTGCTCGTCACCCCCGCTACAGCGAGAATGCGTGTCACTCGAAAGTGTCTCCTAATCGGAGAAGTACGCAGGATGAGAAGTTGGTCTGTGAGAGATACTCGGAGGTTCCTCCGACGCAGCGGGCTGGTAGAAGCTAGGCAGCGGGACGTGTTTGTTGCGGTCGTTCTCCTCCACGAACCACGGCAGAACGAGCTTCGGCAGCACTGGGATCGGGCTGCGCCTGCAGTATGGAGAGTACCTGCGCTCCGTGGTGGCCACAGAGATCGAGTCGCGAGGAGCCCGAAGGTCCCGCCAGTCATAGCGCGACTGGTGCGCGTACTTGTACTCGTCGTCTTCGGACTCGATGATGCGCCATTGGTCAATGACGTTCGGCCGGGGAAGCTGGCGTCTGGAGATGGCGTCGTACAGGGTCCGACGACGTGCGCCACCGTTGGACTCTGGCGGCGCGTTGTACGGATCCGAATGTGATCGCTTGTGGGTGCGCGAATCGGAAGGATACTCCTTCGGCACATTGAATGAGGTGGAATAGGCTGGAGAGGAGTAGGGACACTGTGCGAGTGGCGGGGTGCGCGGTGGCGTGAGAGGCGAGCTCGGTGGCGAGAGCGACATGGAGTCCGACTTCGTGACCACGATGCCCGGAAGATGAAAAGATTCGGGAGAGACGGAGCGCGAGGAGGGGTACATGTGCTCGGGAAAGTCGTCGCGATGCTCACTCTTGCAAGCTCTCAAGTCGGAGAACCGCTCCTCGAGTCCCCTCACGCCATAGTCAATGTCCTCCTCCTTCACTACCACCAAAGGGGAAGGCGGTGGCGGCGGTGGCGGAGTGTCGAATTCGAATTGTAGAGATGGGTGAAGCGCTTTTTCGACCTTCCAGCCTTGCGGAGGAGCAACTTCGGGACGTCGGACCAGTGGCGGTGGCGGTGGCGTTGGGGTTGGCGACAAAGGCGAAGGTAATTTCGAGACTCCTCCTCCCTTCTGGTACGACCTATCGCCCCAGCTCTGTAGAAACTATACATATGGCATGTCAGTATAGAATGTGTCACCACAGACGAAGTGGCTCACCTGTGCCGGAATATGCTTCAACGCAGCGGGAACTCTGGTATGATGATTCGGCTTGGTGGTCGCGGCATGCCCTGACCCGGCGACTGTCGACTTGGTCGATTTGACTTTGGGCATGGGAGAGAGAAGTAAGTTCGTTGAGGAAGAGAACGCGAAGGTGCGGTTGTGCAACACGACGTGCGCTCGACCTACCCTGATATGTCTTATAGGACGCGGGTCCGCAGACCACCAAGCCTGGAAGTCGCATCCCCAACGCCTCGCGGCATCAGCATACAGCGTATCACCGCCCAAAGAACCTCGGAAGGGTCGATATCCCCTGCCTTTTCAGGATAAAGGGACATTCCCGACTTACCATAGTAGGCGGGTGCCACTGCCACTCGCGGTGGTAACCGAGAGAAACCAAATATCACGCGGTGGCCGCATGCCCGACAAAAGAACAAGGGAGAGCGAATATGGCAAGTAGACGTCGACGGTCTGCAAGAGGCACCCACAATGACTGAGATACACAAAAGCAGCGAGCCTCGCGTTGCACGAGCGCGGGGCTAGGACGGTACCGCCCCTCGTGGCATCGCCAATCCGGCAAGTAGCTGCTCTCTGCAGTCCTATCGGGGCCATCGATAGTCTTCACAAAAACTCACCAATGACTAGGTGCATGCGGTTCCCTTCTCCCTGCGGTGTCGTGATGATGTGCCGGCATAGGTCGGGGAGACTGCGCACAGAGACCACTGGCCTTCTGCGGATTGCGCGAATCTCCCGAGATGAGCCCAGCGACGAAGGTTAGGCGAGCCCCTCAGTAAGACATAGAGTAGAACAAAAAAGCACAGCTCGCCAGGATCATCGAGCAAGCCTCAGCAGGGATAGTGGGGACGTTACGGTTGAGGATACAGTCAAGGTGCAGTTCAAGAGGCTGACTCGGACATCGTGGCGTTGCGTGGCGGTGCTCGGCGCTCACATCTCTTAATATGGTAGTTCTCCCATACCAAGGGTCGCTGGGCGTCTGATGATACATCTCCTCGTCTCTGCTACTAAGCTCAAGCAGTCCCGACAAGCAGCGAAGGGTACTGCGCCCTGGCAATCTTATAACTTATAGCAGATTTCAGGCTGGCGTACCAGTGGCGGAGCCACAGTGTCATGCCGAGGTGTGTGAAAGTAGTAGAGTACTGTACAGAGCTTCTATTCAACTCCGACTACCTCAGCACCACTGGCACTAGATCCCATCGTCGTACGCGATTCTCTCCCCCATCCTCCTCCTCTGTATCCATCGTACAGGGAACATAGGCATCCTTTTTCTTTCTACACTGCCTTGAACGACGACAACCTCATGGCCCGGTGAGATGACATCCTGCTCTGACTCATGGACTCTGACTTCGACAACACCAAGCCTGAGCTCATTATGTGTTCGTGCAGGAATAATCAGAACGAGGATCTACACCCAAACGGGCAGCGACTCATTGCGCTCCGGGATATGAAGCGCGTGTACGGATATGGAAATCCCGTATGAGATGTACGGTCTCTCGAACCCGAGGCCGGCATCGAAGGTCACTGCCGAACAAGTCAGGAGAGCGTCAGACAACTGGGAGGGGCACAGCGTCTTGGAGGATATCGATACTCAGTGGGGAGCACTTCCGCAGGGTGGGGCTCTGGAAGGGTACGGAAGTTCCTGATCAGCGAAGCCTGAGGATGTAAATGGTGAGAGACCTGCACCGTAGCGCAAGACATCGAGAGACTTACTTCAAGTTGTTATTCTGTACAGCAATTCCACACTACCAAGAGTCCTCGAGGGTTCGGCGTATAACAGACAGACGCAGTATGAAGCACGAGATCAATGGTGAACACACCTCAGACACGGATTCTCGACGAGTTCCCGGTAGTGTGAGACGACTTCGTCCGACAAGTTTCAACAACATGAAGGCAGATGGCGTGACTACTAATGAGACACGCTCGCATACACGCCGGAGCGACGCGTCAATGATCAGACGCTTTATTACCGTGCGCGAGCAGTTCGGACGAGAGCATGGTATTGGTTTGGTGAAACAGACATCGGAGTACGGCGACATGGCAGTGCGTATAGGACGTCGCATCCGTGGTCGACAGGTCCTCCTGGGACGGATACTCATCGGCAAACGACCCCAGCGCCGCATCCCGAAGGTGCATCGTGGGCCAAGTCAATCCCATCGCATATTCCCCGATGGATTCGCTGCGTCTTGCGTCGGATACCAGCTATGATAGGGGTGCTGGGGCGCAGAACCATGGGCAGCCTCCGCACCCCCGCCTTCATGGCTTGGACTCGGGTATCCGGCGGGAGCGGGATGCGTAACGGTATAGGAATCCCACCCAGCGACGGTTGTGTTCTCCTGCACGAAGGTCTGCGACGGAAATAACGGATCGTTGGTCGCTCCCTGCCACCATAGCGGCTTGTAGGGATCTTCCGCGTCGGCATAGGGATTAGATGCCGAGGAGGTATCTAGACTAGTACCCGACTGGGCACCAGAGAACATGCCGTAGGGAGTCGCGGTGGGGAAAGCACCATGGGGTTGAGCATGGCTAGCCTGCATCGTAACGTATCCCCAACCGTGTCCGCTCGTGGACTGCGAGACTGTGTCTGCAGACGCTCCGTATTGCATTCCGCCATGCACTGGTTGATGCCGGCTATGAGCAATGCGAGTGCCACGCGGGGACTCGTACTCGGGTGAGAGTGGGCGACGGTTGTGCGACGAGATCATAGGAGCGAAGCCTCCATGGGAAGTCATGGCGGTAGAGGCACGACCGACGGCGTGATGGCGCGGGGCCCTCGGAAGATGACGACGAGATACCGGAAACTTCAAAGCAACACCGGGTTGCTGAGCCATGGCGACATGGACTCCGTTGGCGGGATGGATGCGGCTTGGGACCTGTGTGGGTTCGAAAAGCCAGCGAGGGACGCGTCAGGTGTGCCCCGAGTCACGAGGCCAAACGAAGCCAAAGGACTCACGACGAAGGTTTTCGACCGCGGTGTTGCAGGTGTGGCGTCGGACGCAACTGCAACATGCTTCAAGCGGGGGGTAGCGGACGATGTTGGGCGATGGAGAAGCGTGGTTGAAGAAAAGGATACAGCAGAGACGTCACGTCTGCCAGGCCTGTGCCAGCGTTCACCCCACACATGTACGAACTTGTGAATCTGTGCAGTAAGCCGACGATGAGACGTGGCCCAGAATTTGCGGCATGAACGCGTACCTTGCCGTCCGACCCATCTACGAGACGTGCCGGTATAGTTTGCTTCGGACCGGGGCGGGGACAGTGACGCTTGGCCATTGCGGCAGAGGTGACGATGTTGCAGTGGGGATTCGGCTAGAGAGCGTCGAGAGAGCGTATTTGACTGTAGAGGGACGGTTGCCTTTTCACCTTTTTTCGGTCTCCCAGCTTCGTGCGGAGTCGCGGCCTCGCCGCGACTACGGATGCAGTAAGTAGGGGCCATGAA